GTGATGTTTAGAAATGGCTTTTCAAGCTTTGATCGATCTGGAAGGTATACCCAGACCAGGCCAATTTGTTCAGCAACGAAAAACCTGTGCGTGCCATCATTGGCGTGAATCATGGCGAGAGGATTTCTGAGTCCATTGGCTACCTCCTCCAAACACAGCTGCAAGCAGCCATCAGAGTCCGATGCAGTGCGGCCCAGACTTTTGGTTAAGCGTTCATTTCTCAAAATATGAGGATAGCAGTAATCTGGGTCATCCAGCTCTAGGTACTGACAAAGCCTGCGCTGGTCATGCTCAAGTTCTGGAAGACGTGGATCGTCAGATAACAAGGTAAGAAAGGATCTGCACTTGGAATGGAATTGAGAGCAATAGTCGGGGCAGAGTCCAGGTATGGTCCGTAAAGGCGTGCTGGGGTCTTCGGCGTCAAAAAGATGAGCAGCATATGGAGAGCATTCCTGGAGAAGAGAAACAGGAATAGTGGGGGATGTAACCGAATCGTGTCGGCTTCAAGCAATGCATTTGAATAGTCATGTCTGCTTTCCCATATTCAACACTCTGTGAAACCACAAGCACTTAAACCTCAGTGGTGTTTACAGTGGCTCACACTGCACTGGGAAAATCAATCCATGAACATGAAGTTTTTATGTGACCCCTAGACGTGTAACTTACTTCGGAACCTGAAAGTTTAAAATAGGCAGCTATATTTAGCAATATGTTACTAATTTGGCATGAATGGTTGCAAGGGTCTTGCTATGGTGTTCTGGTGGGTTACTAGCATGCCAGGGAGTTTTGAAGAAATTAATAGTTTAATTTAGCAGGGATGCCTTAAACTGATAAAAAGGTGACATTTATATTAGCCTATATGATCTCTATTTCAAATAAATACTATGTTTTTGAAGTGTTCGACTCATTTGGTTACCCTGGGTGTTTACTTTGCTATATTGTATCTCGTATAGCCTACTTGTTTACGTGGTGTTGTTTTAGTTTGTTACATAGGCCTATGCGTTTTTTATATAATTTTATTTGGTGTTTTATGTAGGTTGTTTTGTTTTAGTCATGCTCTTTGTGTATTCATAAACATGACTGTGTAGTGAGCTTTCTATTGGAACTATTTGCAAGGTTTATAGCCTATAGGCAAAAAAGAGATTCCTCAAGTGACGTCATTTGGCCCCAACCAACCTTGTTTCAAATCATTGGCAACTCTGACAGACAGCTTGACATCATCATCGTTTACAATTTTTGGACACTAGCAAATTGCGGTACGTGTTGAGAGGCCAACAAACAATGGCTCAAGTACATTTGTAAAGCCACAAACTAAACAAAAAATATCGTTTTATTATAGTGCGGTCAAACTTACCTGACAAAGCATATCCTGAACGTACACGGCACAGTTCGAATATCCATAATAATCGAAGTTATCCATTATTCGATAGAATTTTGCCATCAGCTCTTGGTCCCTGGCATAGTCACAGCAGCCGAAGTATTTATACATTTGACAGAACTGAAGCTCTTGTTGAGGCTGAAAGGGGGGTTTAAAATCCAAACACTGTGGATGCAGGAACGCAGGTGCGACCCAAAACGTCAACAAATAAAACAAAATAAACGGCGATTGCCACATACGGCCGAAAACATCGCAAAAGCACCACATAGCGCTCAAATCCTGGTGCCCAACTTCAGATAGGCTACATAAGTAAAAGTTATGCAATGGCGAGGATAGCCTACTCGACTGCTCGACGTGTGTCCTCACTGACTTATGTTGCCATGTCGTGTCGTGCACTTTGCCCTGAATTTAATCATCAACCCTTTCCAAACAGCTTCACGACCAATTTACTGTGTAGCGAATCGCAATTCGGTTGGACCTCTATCATATCTCCTTGTTTGAGTTACGAGACGCGTCTTACATCCTGAGCAGTTGTGAAACACACCGAACAGCAACTCTCCGACTGTAATTCATGTCTCTCTAAAACTGTTATGCAGTTAAAGAAACGATAAAAACGGACTCATTATCACAGGTTTAGTGTTTAGTTTAACCCTTCAAGCCACATTTCAGCTTTAAAGCATGCTAGATACCTATATGGTTTTTGCCTTTTGCTGATTTTAGGAGAATTTCATGTTTCAAAAATCCTAAGCGTGGGTCTTGGAGACCAAATTGTCTTTTGTAAAATTGCTGGAGTAAAATTGAAATCTCTATTTTGTATAACAATTAGTGCATGTCTGTAACAAAATAACAAAAGTGCATGTCTGATCATATAGTGTTTTTTAGGTCAGATTAACACATTAACAATTTGAAGATACAAATAATGGGTTAATTTTATCATTATTATTATCATAATCATTTTATGCAGAACTCAAACAAAAAGTCAACTTCAACAAAGGCTTAAAGTGAGAGCACGTTGAATACGAAAACTAAACAATAATCTTTGTTCCATCTGTTCTGTTATGCAACAGTTTACTAGTCATATTTCAAACACACTTGGATATCCTCACTTTTTTTCTGCTGCATGTTTATTTTAACTCATGTTCTGTTGAAACTGGCTGTACTTTATCTCTGTGGTGTTTTAAAATCCCTATGTGGAAAAATAATAATAGTAGCCTATTACAAAAAATAAAACATTTTAAAGGTAGGTTAGGCAATTTCAGAGAGGCTAGCAATAGCAAGCTTGAAAGCATATGATCCCACCCTCCCTTTAGAGCGTCTCCAAAACCTCGTCTCCTTCAAAACAGATGAACACAGACTTTGTTAAACTACCTCATGTCTCAAAGCACATAACATTAAAATAATAATGTGTAAACAACTTACAGAGCTTTTACTTGCACCTGGCAGGTGTGCGGAAGTATGGAAGTATATATATATATATATATATATATATATATATATATATATATATATATTTACAGGCAAAAGAACATCGACCGAACGACCGACATTTTTTGGCCTTGGAGACTTCAACAATGCTACAGTATTTGTATTTTTTTAGACCACTTATATTACTGATTATCATGATGTGAAGAGAGTTTCAGTAGTATACCTTTAATCTCTCCTCTGTAAAAAATAAATAAAAATAATAACAATTAAACCCAGTATTCAAATAGCCTATTGTTCTAAGACTCGTTGTGAAAGGTGATTATCCAGGGTCACGATATAACATGTCTGTTTTAAGTCGGTGTGTCCCTATACGTTTTCTTTTTTTATCTGAATGAACATAAAGCTGCAGGCGTGTTTCTAATCAATTATTGTATCTAAAGGAGTGAATGACGTTTTAACACTTCAACTGGAAACATTTTGGAAACAAAAATAGCATCAAGTAGCTGCATACTTTCGAATGGCTGTTAATGTGCAGCATGCTTATTTGGGTGATGGAGAGAATCGGAGGCCTATATAAGCTAGTATTCCCATTTCTAAAGAATATAGAAAGGTCCACAGTCTATTTATTGCAACGTTGTTTTTGTTTTGTTTTTAAAGTTTTCTGCAAACTCTTCGCAATCTCTGGGTCAGTTCAAGCCATTCTAGCTGTTTAAGCTCACACAGCAGATATTAAGTTATTCCAGCTTATTATTTTTTCCTTGTAGTCATGTTCATCCGATGAGCAACGTTGAGTCATTTTAGTCACTAGATGGCAGTGTGTTCACACCCCAACCCTAAGAAGAGTCCTATTCGAATACCCACGCCTATTAAGGGGGATCGTTTGATATTGAAATGTTTTTGTTCATTCATTCACATTACATAATGAATTAACATATGAATAGGCAATTTACCAATGTTGCTCTAGACTTTAACATCCACTGGAATGTTTCTGCAATAATTCTTCATTGTTTCATTATAGGTCAGAAATTTAAGCCCCGTCTGAATGCTCACAGAAAGCTTGGTGGCTGATGAACTTCTTTTGGGAACAGAATTGTGATTCCCTATTGGCTGAAACATGCCTACCACTCTTTTGCTTGTGTTTAGCCCTATCATTTGTCATTCACACATCAAGTGGTGTAATCAGGCATTTTGTAATGCTATAAATGCCACATTGTTGGTTTGCTTAATGTGTTGCTGACATTGGGAAGTAGAGCATTTCTTCTAAGCTTTTTTTAAACTCTTTATCTAAATGATGTAAAGTGTTTCCATTAGGAATCATGGTAAAGCCTGTCAGTAAATGTCTAAACTGCATGAGAAATTATGGCTTAAAAACTGTAAAATGTTTTTACACAGGTGTACATTACATCTAAAACAGTAGCCGAGGTAATAACAGGCCTGTAGGCCTATTGTATGTGTCGGGGGGCCAGGGGCCCCTAATTTTCAGATAATTAGAATTAAATCAGGAATCATAATATCATGAAACTCAATTCTGAATCCCTGCTGGATGAATTAGCGAGTACACTCAAAAAAATATTAAGCCTTTTATCTAGATTTACTCATTTCAATTAATAGTAAAATTCTATCAAATTGATCAAATTACATTATTCATGTTTTGAATTAAGCATTTTAACAAGAAGAAAAACAATCACTTTCGTATATATATATATATATATATATATATATATATATATAATATATATATATAATATATATATATATATATATATATATTAATAGAGCAAGGGAATTAGTCTGTGATAAATAAATAAAAAATAAAATTTAATAAAATTCTTTCTTTCTTTCTTTCTTTCTTTCTTTCTTTCTTTCTTTCTACACAAAATCATATTTAATACAGTCTTCATATATAATTGCAGTTTCGAGTTCGCTTTCCATTATCTCTATATTTGATACATTAAAAAAAAAATACATTTAATTTATGCATATTAACCAATACATTTAGGCCTATGTATTGTAGTAAGACAAAAACGTGATATTTGAATGCAGCTCAAAACAGTTCGACTTTCTGAGAAGTCAAGCGCCCCCTGTAGGACATTAACACTAGCATGCAGTGCAGCGCGCGCGCCGCGTACGGCGCTGACGTCACCGAACGCTGATCTGAGCTGAAGCGCATTTTCTCACCATTCAACTGTCTCGCGGCCGGGGAGCCTCATCACTGTCAGAAGGAGAATATTCCAGCTCGAACAAATATGAAATAACGACATAAAAGGAATTTATATGAAACACGACTTAGTGTTTACTTCTCTGGGTCAGTTACGTGAGTTTTTTTTTTTTTAATTTTTTTATTTCTGCGTTCGTTTTATCTCGAATTACTGGATTAATTTTAATTATGAGTTTAATTGCTCGCTACGTTTTGGCGAAGGAATGATTAGAATATCCTGACCAGATTACCACTTTTAACGACAGGAATATGGCAAAAAATATTATAGACGTTCCTAGGGATGATTTAAGTAAGGTATCCGATGAAGAACTGATTAAATGTAGCAAAGAGGAGCTGCTTTGGAGACTCCGAAAAGTGGATAGTGAAAAGATAAACTTGATGGTGGAGCACGGTAACATGATGAAGGACGTCAACCGCAGATTACAAGTGCATCTTCACGAAATACGGAACTTGAAGGAGATAAACCAGAAACTACAAGAAGACAACCAGGAGCTCAGAGAACTGTGCTGTTTCTTGGATGATGATCGACAGAAAGGGAAGAAGCTGTCCAGGGAATGGCAGAGATTTGGCAGGTACACTGCCAGTGTTATGTGGAAGGAGGTTGGCATTTTCCAGCAAAAACTGAAAGACCTAGAGAGCAACCAGGAGACTGTGATGAGAGAGAATGTGGAGCTCAAGGAGATCGTCCTCATGTTGGATGATGAGAGGAATGGAGCTGGTTCCAGGAGCTCCATAGACAGCCAGTCCAGTCTTACCAATCTGAATGGAAGTTCTGCCACTGTGAGGGATGTTGGAGACGGGAGCAGCACCTCCAGCACGGGCAGTGCTGGAAGCCCTGATCACCACCACAGTCATATTCACAAGCCTTCAGAGGGAAAGATAGTGTCTATCAGAAGGTCTATGGACGATCTATCAACCAACCATCTTCTCAGAAGCATACCAAACGGGCTCAATGGTGAGTTTGGGCTTTTTAAATTAAAAGTTTCGTGGAAAACATCCAATGTCTTTCCCAAATGTTGATGTTTTAGCAGCTCATTTACAAGAACATGTCATTTTTAATTTCGATTTGATGTGCAGGAATATGGGCGTCATATTGATGGGGCTGATAGTCGACTCGCATGTAGATGTGGGTTTTCCTGGGACCTTTGTCTTATGTGCTGTGTGTATACAATTGTGTGCACTCGCATCCAAAAATAGAAAAGGATGCTTATGGTTGAGTCAAATGCAGTCATTGAGACTTCTAGAGGTTTCCAGGGAAACACAGGATCACTGGGACTTATGGCCTCAGGTTTACCTCGCATATGTGTCAGTATTAACACATGACCAACAACTTATCCAAATAGGCTGGAGCTACAGATGCTACGGTATTGCAGTACGGTAATTGCCTGTGAAGTCAGATCTAATGAGGATTTAATGCTTTCTTAGCCTTCTGGCTTTGGTACATGCTGTCAGGTCTGTCGTAGACCATCAGACACTTCATTCAGACACTTTCATCCTTACAAATGGCTGAGATAGGCTACTGTTCAGAAGTTTGGAGTCGGCAATAATTTTAAATGTTTTAATTTTAAAAGTCTCTCATGCTCACCAAGACACATTTCTTATTATCATCATTGTTGAAAACTGGTGCTTTAGTATTTTTCTGAAAACTGTCTTTCAGTTTTTTCAGGGTTCTTTGAAAAATAGAAAGTTCAAAAGAACAGCATTTGATAAGTCTTTGTAACATTATAAATGTCTTTACTGTCACTTTTGAGCAGTTTAAAGCATCTACTGAATAAAAGTATATATTTTTTAAAATCTTACTGACCACAAACTTTTGAACCATTATAGTACAGGCTATAAAATCAAATAATATAATGTAAAATTTTCAGAGGGTATTACAGAGATTTATTTTCTTTCTAATTGTGCCTTTAGTGCTGCTAACCTGTGACCATAGGGTGTGTATCTGCTTTTACGTCATGTACTTTTATGTGTTTACTTTTGGTTTACATACAGATACCAAATTATCTGATGTCATAAACATCACATTTGACTGCTTGGTCATTTACCTGTATTAGTTGCATTGTTAAATGCTCGATCCACATACCAGTGCTCGTTTTATTCATTTTAATTTCCACAATCTTCTCAATAAGTTGTACACTGAGACAATAACAGCTTTACATTTGTTATTTGCATCGCATTTATCAATTTTAGCAGATGCTTATTTCATAAGCAACATAAATTAAGAATGCTACAATGGAATTGAATACAAAATACTCTGAATGGTACAAGCAATGTGCTTTGGGCATAACTTGGCTTGTGGGTTTTTAGTGCATAAGAAGAGGGCACATTTTTTATACAGTTTGTGTATGTTCATGCAGCAGGTCTATTTAATCTGCAAGATTCACAAGAGTAGGTTTCTCAACTCGTTCCCGCCACAAGACTGGTGATTTATGACAAGCTCACCAATGCGGCATGTAACTGTAGCAGAAGAAATTGCCTGTTATTTACGGCTGATAGTGTCAGCTAGAAGCGTCTGGCATTGGTGAAGATGTAGCTTTTATGCTTATAGACATTCTCAAAAATGGATGTGAGTAAACATTTCAAAAGATTTTTAAGATATTTTTAAAATCTAATGTTACAGAACATTGGATTCCTTTTTGCTATTTATTTCATAATTTCGCATGCTATTGGATGTGATTATACCTTTGCTTGCACTTTTCTTCAGGTGCTGTCATTGGCTAGTGAGCAGTAATAGTGCCATTTGACCTTGCCAGGATGCTTTCATCTTATTGTTCAGTGATTCTTAGTTTGTCCTCCTCCTATCATGACATGTCATAGCATTCATGCTTTCAATCATGTGTTTGAAGCTCAAGTCGTTAGATTAGCCTTTTGGGGTTTTCTTTAGCGTTTTAGTACGTTGTTTACTTGAGAATTTATGGACGTATGTTTCCAACTCAGAGTGAAAATAATATATATATCGCAATGTAGCTATATCTTGCAGTTGCATGTGACTATTTCTTATTTTAAATGTTAGCTCACAGTTATCTTTTTAATTTGTACTCAAAACAGGATGGGATTATTGGAATGGAATTATTATTTTTACTTTTTAAAAAAAATCTCATAGTTGTGTAAGTGGCGTTTATGATTTGAATTGAGATGACTTTGTTTAATTATGTTATGCACATACACATACATTCCATAGCGATTGGAGGTTAATTAACATATATTTCTTTCTAAAAATAATTAGTGGCATTTACTAAGCTTAAAAGCTACCCAGAACACTTTAGCAGCTGCGTTGCAACATCATGCCGGCTAGTTATGCATAGAATACATTTTCCTTAAGAAAATGTTGAAAAAATTCCATGATCCTTTCCAAACTGTGACGCATTCTCAGAACGTAGTAGTGTTGTATGTAAGCCTGTGTTCAGTCAGGGAGGGAGATTAGGCTGGCCGGCGTTTTCTTTCCCAGGCCTGACCCCCCAATGAGTTAATCTGACTCACAGGTTGCATCTCTCCTTGTTTACAAAACTCAAAACAACCAACTTGGACTGCCAACCAACCAGGAGAACATTCCTCCTCCATCCTCCCCATTCCACACTGACCAAATGCGAAGAGTTCCAATTCTGTCTGACGTGGCTTGCATTAAAACGAAAAAGCAGAGAGCTACTTCTTTTCTGCATAGGATCAAATCAAAAGATGCATGTTATTTTTTCTCCTCCAAATATCTTTTTTTTTCTCTTGAATAGTTCTGTCATCATGTACTACTCCTTGTAATGTCCCAAACCTGTCTGATTTTCTTCTGTGGAAGGCAAAAAATAACATATTTTGAAGAATGTTAATAGTTTTGGTTACCACTGACTTGACAAAAAACTACAATTTTCGAAATATCTTATTTTATGTTAATATCGCAGAAGAAAGTAAGTCAAACAGGTTTGGAATAAGCATATGTGTGAGTAAATGTAAAAAATAATGTATTTTCTCTTTAAGTGCAATCCACTGTAGTACTTTTTGAGTTAGAATCATTTTATGGTTAAGCCATCCCGAGACCTGACTTTGAGGTATGTATCTATTCTGTTGAGGTTAAAGTGTCTCTGTCCTGCTTTGAATAGACTGACCCCCCAGCAAGCCACCAATGGACTGAAAGTTTAGTGGCTGGGGTCGAGATTCTGTTTCAGAGTTCAGATAACACTCCTCACTGACTCTTCCCACGGCTGAAGTGAAAAGGCCTTCAGTTGCCCCCATTCAAGACCCTCCATCAAGCCTTTAGAGCCCTTCTGCGCCACTCAAAGGTACAGATGTCTGGCTTGTCATAAAACAGATCCCAATTTACGAGTGAAGCTTTCAGTGTGGAGGCCACTCACCCCTTGGAAAAAAAAGCCCATAGTGTTTGATTGAAGTTGAATTGGATTTAAAAGCATTGTTTTATTATTCATTGGCATGACATTCTAAATTCAGTTAGCATGATGAGAACTCATGAATTCCCTCAAGTAATCTGTGAGATAATTGAATTGTTCTCCTGGGAACGCCAAATATAGGATAACGTGGCTGCACCTTTTAATTCCCCATGTCAATTCTTGTTAAGTCATACTTCCGGGTGGTAACCAAACAGTAAAGATCACATTTGTATCAGTCCGAGTGACCGTCTTGTGCTGTTGGAGCAAGGCATAGTTCTTTTAAAAACAAACAGTTCCCCAACTGCTCAGACTTGTCAGTGGGAGTCTTGGTTCTGCTGAATCTAAAGTTTACTGTGTTATTGCTTGTTCCCTGCCGCTCGTCTTTGCCTCATAAAGAAAATAATAATCTTACAAAGCATGCAAAGTCCCTGTGAGGCTGTTTTGCCAGAGCAAGCTTTAAATGGGCCTGTAATTGGGCTGTCCCGCACTTCAGTCCGCTGACATTTACAAAATGGTCTCCTGGGTCCAACAGCTCTGCTAGTGCTAGTGGTGATTATGGCTGAGAGGAAGATGATGTAAAGAAGTATTATGGGTTCATTTTTTTACAATATTAGCCTGCATATATGGCCGGTTTCACAATCAAGGCGTAATACACAGTCCCTATAATGCTTGTCTCAAGATGCACACCCAGTGATGGATTTTTTTTTTCTATGGCACATTTATAAAAGCTACTTAAATGTCCTAATTGAACTAATGCCTTCTCGTAAAGTAGCCTATGTATATATTTTTTTTCAGGAAGCCTGCCCCAGAGTTTTTTATACAATGTTTCGTTGTCGCTGATGTGGTGTGATTTGTATTGATTGATTTGTAATGAGTTCTGCTATAATGATCACAAAGCATCGGCCTAAGTGTGAATTAGAAGGAAGAAAAAGTGCAAAAGAGCCTTATTTTCTCTCACAGAACCTCATCGATCAACCTTTACGTGCGAAAAATCCTCTCAATACTCCTTAATCAGATTCTAAAGTTAATTAATGTAATCACCTAACTCCAGTCTTTAGCACATTGCCAATGTTAAAGCTGACTGGTTGTTCCGGGAAAGAACTGTCTACTTGGAATGAAGCTAAAAACATTAGAGTTTCCATTACATTAACTGGAGAGTTTTAGGATAATCTTTTAGAGAATTACTTTTCAGGAAAGATAGAAATCCATTGATGGATAAAGAATTTTCTCTCAATTGAGAGAAACCTAGGCTTCATTGTGTTTTTTTACAATAGTTTACGTACATTTGACCATGCTCTGGCAAGGTGCATTGTGGTAGATTTGACGTCAATTAGATCAAGAGACATATGAGAATGAATAACTTTTAAGTCGATGTCATGTGTGTATGATTGTATGATTGAAAATGTTTTTATTGAATCAGTGGTATTGCTAAACAAAACTGTTAAAAAAATCATTAATTGAAATATAGATGAAATAAAATTAAATATGGTAAATGATCCTACGGAATTTAAATATTGATGAAGAAGAAAATATTTTTGTGACTAACCAAAAATAAAATACAATACCAAAAACTAAATACAAA